ACAGAACATGGAGTTTTGTTTGAGTGCTCTCCTGATAACTGGACTGATCAGAAGAAACCGCCACCAACAATGAATTACTGGGTTGTGGGGTGAGTTTAAAGACAAATGAATGTATTTCTCCCAATATTTTCCACTTTGAATATGCCGCTGTATGTTTTAAGAATAAATTTAACCGTAGAACATCACAGAAATACTTCAGCTGACTGACTGAGGTAGCTTTGATTTGGGGTTCGGGAAGTTGTGTTGGTGTGATGTTCCACCTGCTGTAAAACACAGGTGTGTTAACTCAGGTGAACACCATGCCAGCATGTCAACACCACGGAGCTGACACCTTTTGCAGTGCCGCACTGTGCTACACAGACATGCTAAAGTGCTGTAATCATACTCATAATACCCTACACTTTCTTTGTGCTCCTCACGCTCCTTCTGACCTCTCCTTCCCACCTGTCTTGCCTGCGTGCATAATGCTGGTGCAGTGATACAAGGAAGTAAGGAGAACAATTGTAGTTGGTTGGCTTGGGTTGGTTGTTTTGTGGGGTTTTTTTTCATTAGGAAGATCAAATCAACCTACCAGTCTATTTGAGATATTTTGGAGAGGGAGTTTCCTTAGTTTGCTCTCAAAGTTCAGCCATTACCATTGCAAATGGATTGTAATTTATCTTATTATTTAAACTTAATTTTACTGATTTTTCCTAATGATGCCTATAGCTGTTGCTACATAGCTAAGCCTTATTTGCATGACAGAACAGCATACTGCTGTAGGCATTAAATGTTAAGAATAATACATTTTTTGAAGTAATTAAAATGAGGTGTAATGAGAAAGTAGTATGTATCATTTCTTCACAATTCAGAATGCATCAGATCTTGTAATTGTTTAAGTCCAGGCCAGTAAACCCTATTCTTTAGCCACTACTGCTCATATGTTATTCTTTCCTCCATCCACTATATTTTGTGCTGTGTACATTTTAGCTGCAGTAAGCAGACAGTCATATTAGGAGCCATGAGTCAACAGGATGTCTCCTTTCCTACATTCATCTTCTGTATTTGGTGTTCTTACTAGATAAGTAGAAAGAAAAATGCAAACACCCAGTTAAATGGAAGCTGTGCTTTCACCATATGAAAACCAAATTCAATATAGGCAGGGGGTGAAAGGAAGATAAATGATTATATTCAATTAATTCATTAAGTTACAATTATTGACTAGTTCAACTATGGTGCAGATAGGAAAGCCAGAAAACAGCAAAATATATTTCTGAATGTGGCGTAAGAACTTTTTTCTGATACACTGAGAGGAAACGCTATCCACAGATAATTCTATTGGCCAGGAATAATAATGTAGAAATTCTCTAACAGAGCTTTTGTTAAACCTGTTTGCTTTCAACTCAGATCTTTAAAGAGAAAAAAGAAAAATATTTTTTTCCCACCATGAAAGTATATAACTGCAGTTCGTGTTGGAAAATTTAAAATCTTTAGGTTAAACATTTTAAAATGTTTATGCTGCCATTGATATCTTTTCAAAAACATTTTTCAGTCTCTGCGTTATCAAACAACATGTTAAATCATGGGCAGTCTATTAGTATTTGCAGAGTTATATGCTGTGCTATAATTCTGCACACAGTTATGCCAGGTTTTAACAGTGTTCCTATTTTAGCTGTTTGCCTAAAAGAGCCTATTAGATTGACGTGTGGGAATGTACCTATCCAGATGTATTAAATTTAAAAATCAGTAAATATGTGAATATTGAGGCTTGCTCACAAATACCTTGATTGCAGCTTCTAGCCTGGAAACTTGGATCACTGCAAAACACACCAGTACCATACAAATAGAGCCTGAAAACCTGAAGAATTTTTTCTGTACGCAGTCTTGAGAAATAACTTGATTTAAAAATCTAATGTATTGAAAGAAGTAAGATAATGCAGTAGAGCCACAGAAATTTGCTAGCTGTCTTACACAGCGGTTGGTTTTAGCATCTTACTGAAATCTCAGAATACAACGAGAATATATCACACAGTTGAGGAGAAAAAGCTAACACCTATGATAATTTTTTTTTTTTTTTTCCAGGAGACTTATTCTACATCCAACACCTCAGGAGTGTTATGTCTGTTTTCATGACTCAGTCACAGAAGCTGCTGTTGAACTGGCCTTTAAACTGTCCTTCGGCTTAGCTACATAGATGAGATTCCTGAATGTTCAGCCATCCTGCGGGGTGTTGTCATCTCTTTAAAGTACTTCAACATAACGAGAAGTTAGCTCAGTTGTGGTGCTCACCCATGGCCCATCTTTGAAATACTTTTAAAAAAAGCAAATCTACCTTGTCGTAATGACACAGGTAAAACTTCAGTGATGATTCTAACGATCTCATCAAATGAAGACTTAAGAACTTTGTTTCTCCAAAATCTTTTTTGTTTTATGTACTGTCAAATTACTTATCCAGGTCATAACTTTATTATATGAAAACATCACATAATTTGTACATTCACTGCTGTTCAGTGTATATTATGCGATGTAAAATGATCAGCTGATATCCTCAAAGTACTCTCTGAATATCTGGCGATTCGTGATGGAGGGGAAAAAAAAATTTTTCCACTTAATTAAAACTTCATGCCTCTAAGGGCATGAAAAATACTGCATGTTTTCAATAACACTGTATTAATCAAAACAGAAAGAAATCTTTTAGCCAATTCATGGCACTTAGCCACACAAAACTAATGGGTTATCATTTTTGCCAGTATGGCCTCCTGCACACTCAAGCACTATAGTATGGTTGATGTTTTACTTGACTTTATGACTTTTAAATATAAATAATACTTATATTTGTTAAAATGCAATTGTGAAGGCACAGATGATGATGGGGGGCAAGGGAGTGATGGTTTTAAGACTTACGCATGGACCCAGCTAATTTTATATTTCATTCATAATTTCATAATAAAAAAATGTATATTTGGCAAAGACCAGTAAAGCAGTATTCTGGGTTTTTTCGCTTAACATATTTTCTCTTTTGTTTATTTAAACAATACTTGTTTAGCTAGCTCTTCTACAATTTACAGCTGCATATAAGGCAAGAGACGGCAAAATGTTTGCAAAATCAGAATTCTTCTACAAAATTCAGCTTTCCTACAAATTGTTAAAATGTTTGTAATCTACAAACCAGCTGCTCCTACAGCTTTTTTTACTAAAGTTTAGTTTAAAATGCAAGATTTTGGGGCTCTTTTTACCCACAGCCAGCATGCTTATGGTCATCTGCATAGCATTTAATCTTGTTCCATGTCAGCGGTGCATTTTTTTTCTTTCTGCTGTTTCTATTTGCTTTTCATGAGTGCTTTTCATAAAATGCATGACCAACATTGCATTTTAAACAATGGGATCAAAAAGGTTTAAGTATTCAGGAAAGTAAATTCAGTTTCATAGGCTGTCGTGATCAAATCTTTAGATCTTGTTTTCACTAGAAAATGACACTGTTTAGAGTAGTTCTAAAACAGTCAATCAAATGCTTATAACTGCCCACTCTCACAAGGGTGATTCACAACTTGTCTTGAATCACTCAACAGTTGCTTTAATTCCAAGCAGTAGAAGTGTTAGGCCTGAAGTTTAAGCATATGATTGAAGATCAGCCTTGTCCGGAATTTAGGGTTCCTAGAAGATGAGAAATAGAGTGTGTTTCAGTTTGAGACATACAAAACTGAGTAATATCAATAGTGCTTTAGATCTGTTCCACATCTGTAAATCAAGTGATGCGAGATTTACTTTGAAAAATAAAAATATGTAACAGTATGGATGACATCTGAACAGCACCTTTTAAAAAGTCTTAAAATATGAGATTTCATTGTAATGGAAGAAAGCACATAAAAAAGCAAGCAGTCTTTGCTGTGCTGCTTTGAGCAGGTTTAACAGCTTTTACAGAACCTGTGTGCGTGTGCACGTAAGTCTGTATGGAAAAGGGTAACTTTGCTGATGTTTGTCTCTTGTTTCAATGTTTTAAAGGCTAGGCTATATGGTTTGAATGCTAAAAAAGAAGATATTTGAATGCTTTGAAAAGAGGACAGCTAACTTTTATCTAGATCTTTGTGTCTAGTCAGACTCAGGTTACTCTGCGGCTAGTGTAGTGGGTTCAACTTGGTTGACTCAGCTGAGACAAACACGTAACTGAGTCCAGGCAGAAGAAACAGTGTGAATATATGGATGTGTGCAGAGAAAAGAAGAACTGAAAGAAGGTGGGACCCCTTCAGTGCCCATCAGCTGTTTAGATTGGCTTGCGCCTTCACAAGAAACCGTACCTTACATAGAATTAAGGGCATCCCGGTATAGTACAGCTATGGTTCAGCAACAAAACGTTGCAAAATTTGCATTAATCGTGTTGATGCTACGCTGAAGGAGATTTTTATTGGTTACTTTGTTAGTCAACTGAGCAGAGGCTGTATTTCACAGATTTTTAAGAGTATGTTTAAAAAGAACCCCAAAGGATGATAGGATTTCATTTCCTACAGAACACAGATTTTTATCTTTGCTACAAATCTTGTAGCTTTGTAGTTTTCAGGAAGATAATAGCTGTGAATCAGTGTATAGAATTAATGTTAAAAGGAATAGCTATGGAGAAGCTACTAAAGGAGTTTAAATGGTAGTATTAAGGCTCAAAATAAATTAATTTCTTTGCCTTTAAATCATTACTTACAAAAGCTATTAGCAAAGCAATGTGGTATACAACAAATCAATGGAGTACCAGGGTTGAAATTACTAACGTCAAGGGAAGGCAAGAAACAAAAGTTAGCATTTACAAACATCAACAATTAAAACAATTTAACTGAGCAAACAAAGCGTTTCATGCCTTCATTATTCATAAAGTCAGGAGATGTAGGGGAGGGAAAGCAATTTAAAAAAAAAAACCAAACTGTCAGCAATCTAGAAGGAATTGGTACTTCTGACCTGCAGTGGAATGGGTATAAATGACATGATTAAAATTCATTTACTTGCTATATATAATGTTTATTAACTCTCAACTCAATATGATCAACAACTACCCTTTGTTACCTAGGTTTTTATTCCCTAGTTCCTGCTCAGGGAAGAGGGGCTGGTCCCCACAGCTGACAGAAGCTTCTGGAAAGTTCCGTGGGTCTCTGGTAGCAGCTGTGGGAGGGCTCCAGGTAATGGCACCATTTCCGGGCCCAGCCGCCCCTCACAGCCGGGTAACGGTGGGGGACAGAGCGGGACTCAGCTCCAGGGTACACCGGGGCCATCAACTTTTGAGGAAAAAGAAGCTGTTTCGGTGCCCGCTAGCCCTGCGCTTTTCAGGAAGAAGAGGAAATGACTGGGTGGTGCCATGCGCCTTGTTGCGGCCATCAACTTTTGAGGAAAAAGAAGCCATTTCGGTGCCTGCTGGCCCTGCACTTTTCAGGAAGAAGAGGAAATGGCTGGGTGGTGCCATGCGCCTTGTTGGCACATCCCCAGGGAGACAGGTAGGGACCCTGGGCCTCGTCCCCTCTCTCTCCCAAACCTTGCAAAAAGACAAAAGCTTTTTGAAAGACCTTTGAAGCGATAGTGATGGAGCCTCCATGGTGGGCTGCAGAGGGGTGCGGGTAGTGGCGGAGGAGGGGGTTGTGGCTGGGTACATCCCTGCAGGATTTTTTTGGTTTATTTGGTAGCGGCGAGGTCATGCTCGTTGTTTATTTGTGGACAGCGTGAAATACCCTGAACCTTTTCCTTGTGATAGTTTTACAAAAGCAGCGTTTATTTGGCATCCTTGCGTTAACATATAGGAAAGCACGATCAAAGTGAGAAATGAAAATGCAGTTTTGAGTTTTCTTTATCTTGGGGAGGCTTTGCCTTTCATCCACAGTAACACAAGGAAATTAAGAATCCTGAATGAAGAGCATGGCTATGCGTTACAGAGATGACTTTGTTGTCACTGCTTAGCAAAGTCTAATGTGCCCAGCCAGTCCAATGGCTGTGGACATCCTCACGTGTATTTTTTCTTTCTCGTGATCCACATAAAACTTGCTCGTGCACTACCTCCTCAGCTCCATTTAGCTTCTTACGCATTTATCTTAGTGTCCAACGGGATCCTTTCTTGAATTTAGAAGACGAATAAAATTACAAGAGCAGTACCAAGTTTCTGATACCTGTATAAGCCGTTGGTCATTTCTTTAATATGGAGTGTGAGCACCCCCTACGGAAGGGAAAATGCATAGGCAGGCTTCTTCAGGAAAAGTTACACAGTTCTGTGAAATATTCTTCCATTCTGCAGTTTGTGGACTGCAGTTTACATAGGTATCCCTCGTCTTAGAAATGTGCGAAGTAAGGAAGTTGAAAATGTTACCTGTTTCTCAGCATTGTTCATGTTTCACCTGCAGTTTTAGATTTTCATGTGCTAACACCAAACACACACATCTGTTGGTGTCAGAATAAATCCACATTTTCAATACCAAATGCTTGAAAAATAAAGGACCTGCAAAGGAATATATTTGGCCTTTGTTACAGCTCATACCAGAGTAGATACAATAGAAGGAATATTGTATAGTGTACTCGCTGTAGTATGAACTTTGGAAATGTTATTTTAAAGATCCGTTTCTTTTTCTGTAGGAGTTTTCAGCTTTTGGTGTGGCAATTTGGCAAGTGTTATACGGTATTTCCCAACACAGGCTCTAAACTTTGCTTTTAAGGACACATACAAACAGATTTTCATGTCCAAAGTGGATGAAGAAAAACAGGTAAATAATCCTTGCATATTAGTTCTGTTTAATAAACAAACCAGATCCAGCCAAGAGCTGTGCAATTCTTTCTCTCAGCATGGTTGGTACTTAGTGGTGACATAGTGATAAGATTTTGTAATGAGTTTATTTTATAACAAGGGGAACAGTGAGCATGGCTTACCCTGTAGCATATTTTTAAGGTAATGAAATCTGGGGTTTGATCTTTAATGATTGATAACTTTGTGAGGTGCATGTAAATAACTGCTTATAACTGTAGTCAGAATTGTCAAAGTTTTGTTCAGGACATAATTATTTTGGAGTTAACTGATGCAAGTATTAGGATGTATCTTAAAAATCTTGGACTCGGACACCTATGTTTCTGGGCCAATTATGTTAAGATTGCATTAACCTGTACTCTGTTCTCGAAAACCTTTATGTTCGTAATTTCACTCACTGCTTTTATTCTAATGTGTGAAGCTCTTGGGTTGCGTCGTTAAGCAAGAGTATCTCACTTTAATTTTTTTCACATTATTTTCTCGATCATCATTAGGATGTAAGTGTCAGAAAGAACTTGCAAATAGGAAAGTACATATGACTGCTGATAGATAAGTAATACTTCCCGCTGAAAACTGATTTCTATGTGTAAAGCTAGAAATATACTTATGAATAGTTAAAGCATTTTAAGAACTTAGTTTTGTAAAGTGCACCAGAAAAGCAACAGTTTTAGGTTATCGCTCAAAAAGGCAATTAAACATTTGGGCTGTGCTGCCTTACCTTGCAATTTTGTGTACTTGGGAAAGGTCCCTTAACTTAGATGGACTCTTGAAAGACACAGAGGTTTACACCCATGGAATTAATTGCAAGAAATCTTGGTCTTGGAACGTGAAATGTTGACGTTGGCATTTGACAAATTACATAAAATTCATTCATATCAGCAGAACGGAACATAAGTTCTTCGTATCTAATTTGTTTCATGTGAAAATAGCTGGAAAATCTGCTTTATTTGTGTCTGTCTCATGTTATCTGTTTTAGGATTTCTTTGGTTAGGTTTTCATAATTTAAACAGAAATCCAATGTTCTGTGCTTTCTCTTGTTGACAGTTTTTTACTGCAGTGCCAGAAACTTTCCTTGCCACAGGCTCTTCTGGTGGTGCTGACCAGGAGGAATGCTGTCAGTCATTAAAGTTTGATTAATCATCATCTTGTATTGCAGGCAAATTCCTAAGCAGTCCTTTTTCAATTACAGTCATTTTGTATGTAAAGAGTTTAAGGTTGCTGTTTTCTTTCTTTTCTTAAAGTGGAAAAAGGAAAACATGCATGATGTAAATAACAGTGTTTATAGTTCTTCCAATCTCCTTTCCGTCTCCTAGAAGTGTTTCCAGATGGCTTACATGTGTATGAGCTTGTGACTCAAATTTTAGAAACATTCCACGAATAGCACTCAGGATTAATTTCTTTAGAAGTGTAGTATTTATCAAAGTAGCATATTCATGGTTGAAGCTCAGGGTCTTTGGATGCTTTCTTACATGTTTTGTGCAGGATAGGAAATGGGGAATACAATATGGTTACATGCATTAGTTTTTGCTTAGCGGGATTACCTTTAAAAAAAAAAATTACTAAAACCTTTAGATTGTAAAGTGCAAAGGAACTTCTGTTAAAGAAGACAGGGTAAATCGATGTGCCAGCCACTTGGTACTGAAGGTAATACTGGCACGATCAAACATCTTCAGATTGCAGCTGCCCCCTCTCCTGCACAACTAGCAGCAGTTTATGCAGCAACATGAGCTAGGGCAGGTTGCAAAGCTTTCTGTACACGTAATAAAGTATTAGGGCACTTAAGCTATGCTGGACTCCATCTACTACAGCTACAGTGTTGCTGTGACTAAGCCAGCAAATAAAAAGTGATTTTGGGTACATCTACGTGGTCTGCATTTACATCACAAGATGTACCTGTGCTCTGTCAGATACCACCTAAAAATGTTATGTAAAATGTTTCTTGTATTGTGATTAGGTTTTTCTTGTTTGGTAAACAGTATGGGCCACAGTGAAAGTTAGTACACTGATTTTTATGTTTCCCCATTCCCCCATCGTGGAGAATTGATGCACAATTGTTGTATCAGGGGGATTCACAGGCTGATTGTTACGGAGGACTGGATGATTGTAGATGAGAGGGATGTTATCTGCTATCTGGGTCACAAGAGCACCATATAATTCAGAAGTTAGACAAGAAAATAGCTTAAATATTTTTTAATAAATTTAAGAATAGCCAGGGAATCTTTGCAAGTGGAAATTTTTAAATACCCTAGTACAGGTCTTACTCTGAGACCAGCATGTTTCTTCATTATTTTGTTAATAATACAATGTTTTAGATAGATCTTACTCCTCATGTTTTAAAGTTTAGTTTAGTATCTACAACAAAGGTCAGTATTACAGTATCGTAATACTGTATTTTCATAACTGCATACAGCAATTTTTGTGTTTCAGTTCTGGAAATGGTTTTTGGCAAACCTGGCTTCTGGCGGAGCAGCAGGAGCAACATCCATGTGGGTAGCGTACCCATTAGACTTTGCACAAACTCATTCAGCTGCTGATATTGGGAAAGGTAGTGAAATCTCTTAAATGGCAGATCCAGTTTTATCTGATGTGCCTCAGGTTTCTTATATTTACTTCTTTTCAGAGGTAGACCAATATCCAACAGCATTAGAATTCTTTCTGTTACTTAAAAAATTACCATTGTACAATTACAAACTTAAAAATATTAAGAAACGTAACATCTTTGTTGAAAAGGAGAGGATGAAGGTGAGTGAAAGAGGATTCTTTGGAAATAGTGCTGTAGTATAGTTCTCAAAGTTTTGCGTTATTTTTAGATTCAGTATGGAAATGTTTAACCAAATTTTGCCAATTTTACATGCCAGAAACTAGAGGAGTTTAATTTTTGCTAACCTATGGTTTTATAGGGTGTCATTTAAAGAGCTAATGACCATCCTTGTTCTACATCAAGAATATCAACTGAAGATTTTCAACAAAGATTTTTGGGTAGCATATATCCCTAGATGTATATTTCATTCATTCAAATAGATGAAATTAATTTCCCGAACACAGTGTCTGGAAGGCGTTGCAGCAGAGAGGAAGACATACATGCCTTCTGTATTGTTGTTGGCTTTCCTGATTTGCCACAACGGGACAAGTTAACTCTGGTTACTGTCTGTGCTGTGCAGGCTTGTCCCAGGAATTGGCTGCTTGACTCTAACTATTGTTTTCTGTGCCCTGTACTCAGCACAAATAAATATTTTCATGATACCTTCAGTATAAGGAGGTGTACAGCTTGAAGATCTTCCTTCACATATCTGTTTATTGCTTGCTGTGTTTTCACCTGTAGAGAATCCTAAGAGCTTGGGGGTAGTGACTTGCAGAATGTGGAAACAGATGAAGACCTACAGATATAAAAAGTGGATATTTTAACTTTGTCACAGCTTGTGGCTAGTGTTCTGCTATAAGGAAAGGCTGAAATGAGCAGCACTTCTAATAAATTTGAGTATGAATGTGTGGGGAGGAAGTGAAAGCATGGTATTATGTAGAAAAAATTCTTTTCAGAGAGAGGGTAAGAGAATTCATACATAAGCACTCTGCTGAAGGAGGACAAAATTGGAATGGAAGTTATTTGACCTGAAAGTGTTTCAGCAACTGGATACCACTATCTGTTTGAACAAACTGTCTTCATCCATCCACGTGTCTCAATTTCTTCTTTATCCTTTGTTCGTAAGTGGAGGAAACAACGATCTACTATGTTTTTTCATATAATTTTGATAATGATAAATGTTTCAGTCACACAGAGTAGTTTGTTCTGAAGAGAAGGGCTTCTGTGGAGCATAACAATGTCCATAAAATTCTTTTCTATTAGATGCCACTGAGCGACAGTGCCAGAGATTTCGTGACTGCGATATTAAAATTGCAAAGACGGATGGAAGGTGTCCCTGCCCATGGCAGGGGGGTTGGAACTAGTTGATCTTTAAGGTCCCTTCCAACCTAAACCATTCTATGATTTGATGGACTTCCTGGCCTGCACCAGGGTTTTTGTGTTTGAGTACAGGGAATTATTGTACACCGAGCCTCCTATTTTGGATGTTAGGATACCATTGAGGTAGCTTTTACAAAAATGCACGTTTTCAATCTCTCTCATTATATTTTAAATATTTATTATGAACAATTAGGTTGTTAGTTACAGCTTTTGTCTTTACAGTTATTTGTGCTCAACCGAGTATATTACTGAAGAGCCAAGTAATTTTACAGTAGGATTAACAACAGAAATCATCAAAATTATACTTGATATCTGCTGGATTTGACATACATTACACAGAATTTGTAGAGGCCTCCATTTCTCTCTTATTTTGCAGGGATTATTGCCAAATCCACAACAAACTTCATTCATTCTTTCCTTTTTCAATGCTCAAGTTGTGACTACATTCTCAGGAATGCTGTCTTATCTTTTTGACGCTGTCAGGAGACGCATGATGATGCAGGTACGGTCTAGCTTGCAATCCTTTTCTGAAAATTACTTACTGGATCTTTGAAGTTTGATGTGCTAATTGAAGCACTGTATAGCCTTACAGCAGGCAAGACTCTATTCAGAAAAAAAAAGTGGAAACATCTCCAGAAAGACAAGAAAAAAAATGAAATAATACTATTGTGGGAGCCTGGTAAAAGTTCACAGCTTGGTGGGAGCTTTTAGTAGAAAATCAGAATCTGTTTTCTTTTTCCTACTCAGAATCCAGATATTTAGAGTAAGACAAGTTTGTGGGTAGAATAATATCCTTTATTAGCCCAGCTAATGCAGTGAGAAAAATAGTCTTTGAGGCACACAGCTGTTCTTCAGGTGCGAGGTAGAATCAGTAATCTTCAAAGCTCAGTACAAACTGAGAATTATTTCTCAGTAAGTGATGGGTATCATAGTGTATTATCAGTAATTAATGTTGGATCTCATTGCTAGCTATTAGGTAATTTTAATAGGTACATAGAAAGAATTTACATTATTATATGAAGATCATCCTGAAACACGAAATGAAAACAACACAAAATGCTCTTGAAAAATCAGGACCTTGTTCCCTGCATCCCTGAGGAAGTTTTGCCAGCTGGTAATAGAAAGGAGTTGTTAGTTCCAAAGAAGTGTCTCTACATTTTGTTTCAAGAGTATCCTTTTCTCAAGGTATTCCAGAAAGTCAAAAGAAAATCAGAATAAATGTTGGCATAGAACTTGCTTGGGTGCTTTCAAATAATCCCAGGGGATACTTAGATTCTTAGGTAATGCCTACGTACCTCTGGTAACCTGTCCTGAATAACCAAAATCCTTGAAGCTTACAATGGGCAAGCACCATTAGCACTACTGACTTCTTCCTTTCAGACTAAATATGATTTCACTGTCTTCAGATTCTGGTTTTACTGCTTAATCAGCAGTAGATCTACAGTTAATGCTGTCGTTATTCCCAAGTCCTGTGCTCTTTGAGGCTTTACCAAAAAATTGCCTGTATTTCTGGCAATTAACTTACCACTAGGATAGAGAATAGTATGAAGATTAAAAACATAAATTGTAATCATATGCAATAAGGTAATGGGTTTATTAGCACAAAAGAAGATGAGAATGAGAGGACATATATATGTCGTGGATGTAAAAATATATTCATGTGTCCTTGTTTCATTCAGGTAGTTTTGAAGCTTCAGGTACAAATAAAGCTAAGTAGTATGATTTTTATCAGTTTCTTATCAGGATGCTTACTCTGATCCAAGAGGAAGCCCCGAATTAAATATAGCACCTTTTAATTCTTCAGTTAAGTTGTATTTGTCAGGTGGAATAACTTTTTGAAATTATGAGCACAGTACAGTTACTGCTTTCAGCAAAGTTGATTTCTGTCAGCTAAGCAGTAATAACCATTACCAAATATCCTTTCATTTTCATATATTCATGTCAATTCAAACAGAAATATTTTAAATGCTTTTTTAGCTATCTTACTATGCTTATTTAATTGATTCATGTGAATATTTATCACAGATGTATTTCCTGCATTTATTATGGTCAGAAAATGGATAGTGACCTCCTATCTTGATTCCTAACAGAAGATGTAACATGTAACCCTGTCTTCATCAGAAAATTCGAACATCACTTTATTAGCTGCAGAGTATATCACAAAGGCAAGATTATCCTTCTGCCATTATTGGGAGTCTAGAACCTTACCTTGGTATTGCAGGTGGGTTTGACTTAAGGTGTTGGTAACTTAAGTCAAATTTTCAACATTAAGTAAAAAAACTAGTGTCTTCTTTCTGGTAGAATTTCATCTAAAGATAGGGATTTGGAGATTAATCTCACCAAAAAAAAAGGGCACTTGTTTTTTGCTAGTGAAGACAAAAACCAGTGTCAGTTCCTAATACAGTCCTCAAATCCTGAAGAGACTGCAGTTCCAAAACTGGAATTGTTTGACAGTTCACCAAGCACATCTACAAAAAATGGCTTTGTCAGAGCTGGGGTGTTACTCAGCGTATCTGAGGGACGTGCTGTCGTCATCATGCTGACTTCCACAGTGGGCGAGAGTATTTCCCAAGTGCTCCGCTGTGCAGAGAATGGCTACACAACGTGCCTCTGAGCTGTCTCTACTCCACTGTTGAAATTTTCAAAACTTAAAGGAGTTGGCATGGTTTTCAGCCACACTGCACTTGGAAAAAGCTGAAGGGAGAGTTGAGTACTGCAGCTCTGACTTGTACATCCTTTATTTCCTACACCTGTAAGCACTTGAAGCAAGTTTTTGTGAACGTGGTGCTGAGGTCTCTAAGAAATCCTCCCTTTTGCTTTGTTTTCATTTGTCAAGCAAATTAATGCTCAGAAAGAAGGTGGACTAGGTGAACACTGGACTGCGCTCCTTCTTAGCCTTCCTATGGTTTTACATCACCGTGCTAGTCAAGACCTTAACATTTTTTAGAGGACTCTGTTGATTACAAATGAACTGGAATCTACTTGGTATGAAAATATTTCAGTGGTACTAAAAAGGGGGGAAAAAAATGAGCTGTGGAAGTTTTAATAGCATTGAAACAATTCAGAGCACCCTTAGGACTGGAGTGACCTCATTTAATTCCTAAGCCTTCTACTTGCCCAGTAAAGCTTAAAAGAAGCATCAGAAGAAGGATCACAGCCTTTCTAAATTTAGCTATTGGAACAAGCCAGCAGAACATTACATCAGATAAATATTTATTAGTTAAAAGATCATTCCTTTGCAGTAAGTGAAACATAAGGAAAAAGTTCCTTAGTGTTCTTGACTAAAGAAAGACAAATTTTGCTGGCCGTATAAGTTTCTTTTTCAGTGCAGCGCAATAATGATTTGTCCTTATTTTGTGTGCAGCGCAGGGAGACTGAATGTCAAGATAAAGGAACCGTGGACTGCTTTATGAAAATACACGAGCCAGAGGGGCTTAATGCTTTCTGCCTTGGAGCATTCTCCAACATCCTCCGTGGAACCGGAGGAGCCTTAGTGCTAGTTCTCTGACAAAATTAAGGACATTTTTAACCTCAATGTTTCAGAGAGTTCAGGACCTGATTAAAATAGTGAGTGAACATCTATTTTGTCTGAACAGTGTTCATGAATTCTCATTGTTTGCATAGCCTATTTTTAGTTAAAATGTTATATAAACAATACTTTTAAGAAATTTGGATGGTTTTGTGACTAAGCATGTACTAAATGAAATAATTTGTTGTCAGGGAACTAAAGACTACCGTTTACATTTCATCCAAGAAATTAATCCAAGAAACCACTTGCCTCTTGTTTAAAATTCTCAATGTTTCCGTTTTATTCATACTAAATGTTACACATCTTGACTGAAGTTAGGGCATGTACCTGAATATATTTTGGTAACAGCTGCTTCCCCAGCCTGTCAGCAGAGCCTGGTGTAAGTACGTGTACTTACCAGCTTGCCTACAGCTTCTACATGAGCCCCAGTAAAAGGAAAACCTGTTTGCAGCCTGTTGATGTGTTTTCATGGTATTTCAAAGCACAAGTCAAGACAGCTGCCACTATAAATCAGATGTGAATCCACAGGCCAAGAACAGGAAAGACTCGGACAACACCAATTCCCAGACTGCTGCAGTGACAGCAGGTGATGGGGGGGATATGCTCAGGCAAGTTCGTGGCTAATCTGACGTGAATTTTGTTCATACTCGCAGATTGGGCAATTAGTGTGACACTGCAGCACACAAACAGGACTTTCATGAAACGCTGTTAAGAGTTTTGCTTGTCCTGCTTACGATGTCATCTCCAACTCATAACAGTCTTACTCTTGACACAGCAAATACAGAGTCCGTTGGCACTTTCTCGTCGCTATCATGGATGTCTACACTCATCTGCAATCCTGACTGCATCTTGGAACCAGCTGCCAGAAACAACACGGCAGCAGCAGCACAAGGATGTGAGATCCGAGATATGCCCGCCCCTCTGCAGAGGTGGCTTGTCCCCCAGCTGCAAGGTTGCCCAATTTCTTCTGGGCCTGGCTCCGTGGCATCAGCTGGCTCCTTAAGAGTATTCGCGTATCATCTCTTGGCCCAGGGTGTCTCCAGTCAGGAGGGAGCCTCAGGTGGAGCTGGGGAAACGGGGATGCTGCAACACCTTGAATCACCCACAGCTGGTTCTGTAACAGGGACTGAAACAGCCGCGCAGAGCCCTGACCCGGGATGTGTCTCCCTGGCTACTGCTGTGGGGGCCTGCACCCCCTTTGCCTTCCCCATCCTGACACCAGCAAGAAAAACGAGGTGGTTAACTGCTTGTACTAATAAATACCAGTTGTGTTACAATTAACTCCGTTTAACAGTGGTTTCTCTGGCTTCGGGAGGTTTTGGAGGGAAATGGCATCTGCTGCCTTCCCTTGGAGAATCCTGGTTGTTCA